GGTTTTTCCACTGGTAGGTTATCGGAGCACTTTTTCGTAGCACTTCACAAACGCCTTGTTGAAAATTTATTTCTTACACTTTTTGTAACAATGATATCTAATTCCCATCACATAAACTTAAGTGAATATTTGCACAATTGAGAATTTTGAACTGGTTATACTCCAATCGAGTTAGTTTTCGGAAAAGTATGCAATATCCCAAGTAATTTAAGGAACACATTAGATCCTTTATATAGCTTTGACAACTATCCATTAGAATTAAAGTATATATTACAAATAGCTCATAATGATGCTAGAAATAATTTATTATTAAGTAAAGGAAAAAGAAATTGTAATTATGATAAGTTCACAAACTCTATTAAATATAAGAAAGGTGATTTAGTGTTAGTGAAAAGTGAAACGGGTGATAAACTAACCCCTTTATTTGATGGTCCTTACGTGGTAGTAGAAGAATTATCTCCAAATGTAAAAATAATAAAAGACTAAGGAAGTGGTAATTCATAAGAATAGAACTAAGCCATATTATAAGTAATATTAATGCTATACCTGAACGTTGAGAGTACATGGTGTACTAATTTTTTTTATTACTTCAATTTTATTCTAAAAATTGTATTTTTTTTATTGTGTTAAGTTAAGGAAAAGGTTTGATTTGGATAATTAACTTTCTACAAAGTCAATTACCAAAACAAAACTTTTCGGGGAAGGTGTAGTGTAAGAGTAGCTTTAGCGTTTTAAACTTAAACTGTTAATTGCTGAATTGGAAATATTTTAATGTAGGACACGGTTCAACCTGATAGGTAGAGAGAATAAATTATACTACAGTCCAAGAAGGTTGTCTTATTAATTTTCTCCACATTCATTCAAGTAAAATAAAATGAAATTAAATAACTGGCAACACGAATATTACGGCTCCTCCGCTATTGATTGTCAAAGTTCTTGAAAAAAAGTATGTTTTTTGTAATATCTGGAGAATGTTACTATGGATTTTAATGAAATTTGCTGTGGACTTGTTCCTAGGTAAGAATCATGTTTTGATGAAGCAACCGCATCCATCCGCCTTGGGCTAGAGGTAAATTCTTGAGTGTCTTGGTACAAGAATTACCAGAACTTTTTATGTGGTGTTTGGAATCAATAAATTTTTTTTTATTGATGTATCAGTCCTTTTTCAAGATTTTCATGCTCTTGGTAAAATTTTGTAGTATTCATAGTTTTTACGCAAAAAAATGTTTTCTGTTTAATTGCGACTTAACAATATTTTAGACGTATCGCTGGTTACAATTTTGAAATCTAACGCGACGTATTGAATATCATTTTATTTCATTAGATTTATTTTTTGTTAACGCGCAAAAATTGTAAAGACGTACGTAGGAAAGACATAATTCTCTTTATTGAAACTGGGTGATAGTTACATAGATACGGTAGATGATGATGGAATTACAAAACATGTTCCATATGTCAGCCATTTTCTTGAATGCATAGCTGGATCCTTCAACTGAAATTGAAATCCTCAACAATTCTGGATCATTCCGTATTACGTCCGTCTCGTTTTGCATCCTACGTAATTATTTTTCCTGGCTCCCCATAGAAAAAAATCTAATGCCGTTAAGTCGAGGGACCTGGGGGTCCGTTCGACAGGAACATCTCTTCTTCCGATTCACTTGTGTGAAAAAGTATTATTTAAATGTGCAGTTACATCTGCACTAAAGTGCGAAGGAGTACCATTGTGTATGAACCACATCTGAGCACGAAGATCGAGAGGGACATGTTCCATTAGAACCGGAAAAAGTATTATTCAAAAAATTTGATAATTTTCGCCATTCAAGCAGCGCGGCATGATATAAAGACCCAGAAGGATGTCACCGATGATCCCGGCCTAAACATTTATTCAAAATTCCACCTGAAAGTGGTTAATACACCTTGCATGTGGGTTTTCTTCTGCATTTATCATAAAATGACATTATCGCTTATTACGATAGTAGTGATTGTAGTGAGTAGTTGTTGTAATGGAGTAGTAGTGATATTGATTATCTAAAATTGAAAACATTTTTCTGCGTAAAAAATATGAATGCTACAAGATTTTACCAAGAGCACGAAAATCTCGAAATCAACAAAAATCATCAATAAAAAAAAATGAAGTGATTCCAGGGATAAAATAAAAAGTTCTGGTAATTCTTATACCAAGACACTAAATAATTTACCATTTGCTCAAGGCAGATGGATGCGATTGCTTCATCAAAACATGAGTCTTATTTAGAAACTAGTCCACAGCAAGTTTCATTAAAATCCATAGTAACATTTTCCAGATATTACAAAAAACATAATTTTTTTCAAGAACTTTGCCAATGAATAGCGGAGGAGCCAAACATTTTTTCTTAATGGAAGTTAGGTCAGATCGTCTTCATTTGATCCAAAGAATGTCGCAGTCCCTATTTGATCATGTGCTTATGGGACACCCAGTATATATTTTTAAAATCATAAACAATATACAGGGTGTAACTAAATAAGTGTAAAACATTTAAGGGGGCCATTCCTCATCGAAAAAAAGATAGGATCTTTCATATAAAGAAACTTCATTGGAGCATCCCTTGTTAAGATACAGCCCCTTAAAGGGGCTACATAAAATTTGTTTAACAATTTTTTTCACAAGCACTAAATAAGTTACAATATTGAAATTAACCTGACATTTTCTACTACCAAAAAGACACTTAGCCAGTAATTTATTTGGTTTACCCCATGGTTGTAAGGGGTGGAAAACGCAACCCCTAAAATTTATTTCCAACGTAATTTTTTGTCTTATTATTTTTTTACCATTTAAAAAATTATTTCCGATAGCCTGTTTCATTCTAAAAAAAAATGTCTCTTGAATTTTTTGCCCAAATTAAACCAGTTCGCAGTAAAAAATTATTTTACGAACAACTACAGAGATACATCGTCATAAATGCGGACTGGATTTACTGTTATTTTGTAGTTACTACCTGCATTAAATGATTAAAGGGGAATAATCAAAACTAATTTAATAATAACAAAACATACAACATGTAGAAATCATAGT